GGGCTGGGGATTCGAACCCGCCACCTTAGGTGTATGTGGCTGGCGCCTTAGCCGGTTGAGCTATAGGCGCCAAGCCTGATTTGCATTTCTTGATGATTAAAGACAATGAGCATTTTTTCATGTGTGTGTTGGCCATTCATCTGTCATCCTTGGAGAAGTTTCTGTTCAGATCTCTTGCTCACTTGCAGAGAGGATTGTTTGCACTTTTCTGATTGTTTAATTTAGTTCTCTATAGATGCTAGTTATCAGGCCTTTGTCAGATTCATAACATGCAAAAATCTTCTCCCATTCTAAGGGCTGTGTGTTTGCTCTATTTGTGGTACTCTTAGCTGTGCAAAACCTTTTTAGCTTGATCAATTCCCAGTTATTTATTCTTGATGTTGCTGCAATTGCTATGTGGGTCTTCCTCATAAAGTTTTTTCCAGGCTAATATCTTTAAGTGTTTTCCCCAGACTCTCTTCTAGAATTTTTATTGTTTCATGTCTTAAATTTAAATCTTTTATCCAACAAGAATCAATTTTTGTCAATGGTGAGAGGTGTGGGTCGTTTCAGTTTTCTGCGTGTGGATAACCAGCACCATTTGTTAAATAAGGATTATTTTTCCCTTTGCATGTTTTTGTTAGGCTTATCAAAGATTAAGTGATGATATATGGCTGGGTTCATCTCTAGATTCTCTATCCTATTCCATAGATCTGTGTCTCTATTTTTGTGCCAGTACCATGTTGTTCTGATCACTATAGCCTTGTAATATAATCTGAAGTCTGGCAACATGATGCCTCCAGATTCATTTTTATTTCTAAGAACTGTATTTGCTATTCAGGGTTTTTTCTGGTTCCTTATGAATTGAAGTACTATTTCTTCAAGATCTTTAAAGTATAACATTGGTGCTTTGATGGGGATTGCATTAAATCTATAGAGTGCTTTGGGCGGTATGGACATTTTAATGATGTTGATCCTTCCTAGCCTTGAGTATGGTACATTCTTCCATTTGTTGATGTCTTCTGCTACTTCCTTTCTCAAATTTTCATAAGTCTCACTTAAGAAGAATTTCGCTTTGTGCAGTAGCAGTATCATAGCCAATGAGGTTTATCCGAGGTGCAAATGTTGCTAATTGAAAACTTTTCCCAATACCCTGCCATGATGACTTAAAATAAAGTCAGCACTGGCAATTTTTGACAGTCTCCATGGAGACTGAATTTTTAAAAAAGCATTTCCAACAACATGGGAAAATATATTTATATAAAACATTTATATATTCGTGTTATCTCAAAAATGTAAAGCAATATAATGTAAGGGAGAAAAAAAAGAAATATTAGGCTGAGATCTTTGTTCTAAAATTACTGAGGTAACAGCTAACCTTAGGCAATTCACTTTATCCTATGAGCTTCAATTTCCTCATCTGTAAAATAGGGATAATAATATTTGTTTGGAAAGATTGTTGCAATATTAAATAATGTATTAAGGTGATGAATAAAGTATGAATAAGTTGCATTTTTTTCCATCCAGACTCCTTAATTTTCGTATTTAAAACACTTCATGATTTTACTTTGAATGTCCTGTTCCAATCTTTTTTTTTTTTTTGCAGTTTTGGCCATGGCTGGGCTTGAACCTGCCACCCCGGTATATGGGGCTGGCGCCCTTCTCCTTGAGCCACAGGCACCACCCCTGTTCCAATCTTAATTTCAACTTTGTATTTAGTGTAATGTATACCTTTGTCAAACTGCATATTTGTCAATTAAAAATAAAATAAAACTTTTTTAAAAACCTATACTTTTGCTGATTTCTAAACATTCTCCATCTTTTCCTTCCCTTAAATTCTGAGTGTATAAATATTTCTCACATTCCAGCAATTCCACTCCTAGATATATTCTTAAGAGAAATGAAAATAAGCCAGGCACTGTGGCAGACGCGTGTAGTCCCAGCTACTCAGGAGGCTAAGGCAAGAGAATCGTGCCCAGGAGTTGGAGGCTGCTGTGAGTTGTGACACCAAGACACTCTACTGTGGGCGGCAGAGTAAGGCTCTGTCTCTTTTTTTTCTTTTTTTTTTTGAGACAGAGCCTCAAGCTGTCCCCCTGGGTTGAGTGCCGTGGCGTTACAGCTCACAGCAACCTCCAACTCCTGGGCTCAAGCGTGTCTCCTGCCTCAGCCTCCCAAGTAGCTGGGACCACAGGCGCC